GGCTTAAGACGTGACATTATTATTAATAAGGAAACCGTCTCTCTGCTTTTAATTTATCAGTTTAAACGAATTTTTGCAAATATATAAAATGAAGAGGAATAATATAACTTTCTTTTTATTCGCGTTTAATCAATTTTTTAAACGTTTTATCAAAAGGATTTAACATATTTATTTTCATGAACATTATCCCATATGGATATCACAATGAGAAAAATTGTCATGTATTCTGTTATTGTCGTAAAAAAACTGGAATTTATTCCAAAATTAACAACAGAAATTCGTTCTGTAATTGTCTTACAAAGTAATTATGATGGTAGAGAATCTCATGCCGCGCACATGCTGTCAAGTATCACCTTAATTTTCACAATATTCAAGAATTTAATGAAACGAAGCCTCGAAAATTATGAAAAGCTAGCGCGTTTAAGGCTCGCGCTTTGTTTTCACGATCGTCGATTAATATTACGAAGGAACAGTAGCGCGGTGTAATTGAAAGATATTACGAAATTCATGCACAATAATATGAGCAGCGACAAAGATAATAGGAATCGCGAACTGAGCACGGTCAATTACATGACGAGGAGCATTAAAATTGGTATGTCGCGTCGAAAACACTCGCGTTTCACAATTACGTATGTCGTTACGATCGTGATAACTGCTAAAGACTCGAATCAACCGCATAATGTATTATTATTTATATGTATTCCGTTGAACGGATGTGGTATGACATAAATATAGAAATTTTGGAAAATCATAGAAATCGAATAGCGAATTATGAAAGTGTTGGATACTACGGGAAATTGTGTCCACGTAAATCGCACGATGGACAATGGATGGACAATGAATCGCGTACGGATATCGTTACGATCGCAGTGGAAGGCAGATGCTGGGCAAGCGATTCTCTCGAGCTCAAATATCGATAACTACGGCTAGATGAGAGTGCAGATTACGAGAATTCGATAGAGACAAGCGGCCACAGAATCGAAGTAGCTACAAAATTTTTAACGACACTCAGTGCTGACCGTAAAACTTGTACGTTTAACCGTCACCAGTAAATTCCCGGGCATTTCGGATTTTCGGATTAGCCGTGAGACGGGTCTGTGGCATATATATCCGTTGTCCTTTCCGACCACTACGCGCCCAATGCTGAAAACAATCCGTTAAAAAAAGAAACGCGTATACTCGCACGCACGTACACAGTAGGAAACGCGTACGTGAACGACGCGTGAACGGAGGACGCGAATTTTTTAACGTCGGAAACGACGGACATCCGCAGGTGGCATCGAATATTTCGTAGCTCGTGTCGAAGTGGGCGGAGAGATTGCGGGTAGGAAGAACAATAGGAAACACGCTACGCGTAGCACACACACACACACGTATGTGCTGTAACCCGGGATTATTGTAACTTCGCCATTTTCCAGAAGGACGAGGGTTTATTAATATCGCAGCAGGAACGCGCAGCGCTTCTATTCGGTACACTGCCCGGATGGATTAATACCGCGCTTACTTCTCGAGATTACCTAAACTACTCGTCCACATGGGATTTAATGCAGGTACGTATCCTTCGTCTGCCGACGCTCTCCTCCTGACAAATCCACCCCGAACCACTTTTGCGACGCGAACTTTGCGAATTCCGGAATCGGTTGGACCGCCCGTGACGGCGCCGTGAAAACATTTATCGACGAATTAATCCGTAGTAAATATCCGTAGTAAATATCAGGTTACGGACTCTCGGATAGCAGTCAACAAGCTCCCTGGCAGTTTGCCGTTGTGAATCTGGTCCGCAGCCTCGGTATCGACCTACCGGATAACGGTGTTTTTCAATTAACGCTAATTGCGCGCTTCGTAAACTCTGTTTACCGGTGACTTTCGGTTTCACGGCGTGCATCTTGTCGGCATGGATCTTCTCCCGCGTTAATTCCGGAATCTCATGCAATTTCTCAACTAATTTATGAGAAATTACGGAATTTATTTGACTGCACTGTCGATTTTATTTCCCTTTTTTTTCGGATATGACTTTTTCTACAGTACATGATATTTTTATAAACTTTTTCCAGCATATATTTCATTACACGGTTTTAAAATTTGTGATATATAACAAAAGAGATAGAGATTTTCTCTCAATATTTAAAATTTAAAACCTTAATTTACATGAAAATTCAATAGTGGTTATAATATTTTTCAAGTCTTGATTTAATAGAAACTCATTTTTTTTTATACCTATGAAATTGATAACATTTTAGATTATTATATTAGATTAGTATATTACAATTTATACAATAGATTCTTGTTAAATACAAAGCATAAAGAGCTTTATGTTATATTTTGGACGTATAAAGACATTTCTCTTTTTTCTTTTTACCTTTATTCATTTTATCTTGAAAATGTTAGTTAGACTGAATGATACTTGATTCTACTTTTGCTTTATCAGAAATTCCAAGCGCTCTAACGAGTAGCTAATACGTAGCATAATACGATATAATTATAATTCGAAACTAATAAACATTTTAAAGTATTTTTATAAAATATTTTTATATTATAAAAAGATTGATTGTTTGGAGGAAGTTGAACATAAAATGCAGTTTATTTAATTTTTTACTTTGACTGAATTACTCTGACTTTGCGTCAGTAAAAAAGCAATATCAAAAATAAATGATTTCCGGATGTATTTTCGAATACTGTCAATGCTGTAAATGCTGCTTTATAACACCATTTAAATAATTGTAATAGATGATTGACATTATCCGTCTTCAATACCAAATGCTTTTTCCAATACTCGCGAGAGAAAATCCAATGTCCGCGGTTGGCGTCCCTTTTATTTCGAGTATCTTGATCCGCAATTAATTTGTCTCTTATACGTATATATAGCGTAACGTGCGAGTTGTAATGAAATCGTTTGTCGCGTATCGACAGACACGCCTGGAGTGTTGCGGAATTAACGATGCGAGTGACTGGACCAGATATCCCGGTTTGCCCGAGCTCCCTCAGTCCTGCTATTCTACGAGGTTCGTACAACATCCTAGAAACACCTCTGAGTGCTCGAGACGGCCGGCGGTAACGCAAGTTTCAGATTTAGTACCGAGAGTTGCCTCGAGGACTCGTCTGAGATGAGAATCCAACAAGCCCGCTAAGCGCGGCGTTCCGGTTTCTCTTTAAAGAAACTCTCCCGGTGCCACTTAATCGATCCCTACTCGGCTTTTCGGGTGCTACGCGAGGGCGCTACATTGCTCTTAGGTGGATCGCGTTGCTCGCCAAAATGAGCTACAGCGCGACTTGTAGACGATCCGATTTATCTCACCCAGTCTGATGAGCAAGTTTCTTTAAAGCTTTGTAGACTGGAGAGATATTGTTCACGAAGATTTATGTATCGAAGCGTCTCGGATCATTTGCAAGATTGACGAAATAAGAGAGAGAGAGCCCGAGCGATACAAAGAGCAAAAAATCATTCTCGTTAAAAGATAAAAATCTATCTTACGATTGATTTTCTTTCCGCCGTACTTGAAATCAGAGTCGACGATGTATTAAACGAATGATCAAACTTTTAAACCGCACGATGGAGTTCGCGCTCTTCAGAAATTGACGTCTGCCGATACCTTTTATCACGTAGAATCTCCTGCGCCTTCGATATTCGACGTCGCTTCAAGCTTCGATAAGCCTTATATCTAGGGCGTGATGAGATTATATATCTGTTTAAAAGTAACAGTAGAGAGAAATGTATACGTATACTTGTCTGCTGTAATTGAAAAGTGACACGCTACGAGTGTGTTGAATTTCCGCAGCTGTCACGAGGACGTAGTATATTTCGTTGTAGAAAACTGGTAGGGGAAAGTTCGTGTCGTCCATATCGCAGCGTGTAACAGACGTCTGTTACCACTTTTCGCATATTTTCGAGTTTCCAAAACGCTCGACGTTCCGTATCAACGGACGACATAAAGGGAAAAGAGATGGCTTTATCAGTACGACAGCCCGTATCACGGTACGATTACGCGTAATACTAGTATGTATATACCTGGTACCTTACGCCGGACATATATCTGGAGTCATTTATCGCGATCATTATTCTCATCCGGAAGGGAGGAACGGCCTATTGTGATAATGACGTCGAAGGCCTTTCATAGAGACCAACCGGTAATGCACACGTACACGTGTCCCTTCGTCGAACGTGATGTTGTATGCTTAACAAACCGCGTTTGGTCCTACGCTTGACAAACCGCGTGTACGGCCATAAATTGGTTTAAATATTGATTCTCATTTTAATGCGAAGCGAATTGCGCTGTGCAAATTATATCTGATTACATCATGTCGGATTTGTCGCCCGCAAGATACGCAGTGCGGTATTTACCGCGTTAATAATCGATACGGATTCTTGATTGTTCCGGCTATATATTTTTTTCATCACTGACTTTATCCTTCATTCAGTATATCGGTAACGAGTCGTCGTCATCACTGATTTCATTCTTCATTCAGTATATCGGAGACGAATCGTCGTGAATCGGCGAATAAATCAATTACGAGCGTTACACTTAAAATTTCTTGGAGTAAGATTTTATTTCAAGGAATTTAGAGTTTACGATACATTACGAAGAGTGTCACCGGCTGCTGGTGCGGTTTTTTGCGGTCCCATGAAATTTACGAGTCCGTTGTCGACATTAAAAAAAGATACCTTCCACCTGAATTACGAGCGGAGTACAATTGCACGCTTATCGTCTTCGAGCAGCATGGACAATCTGGCAAGGAATATTGATTTTTGTACACTCACATTCTATCAATGATTTTCACAACGATCATGAGCCGCTGTATGAGCCGCAAAATGAGTGCTAAAAACGTTACGGTGAATAATAATTTGAAGTCGAAACTAAGCCCATACCAGCGAGACCACACGTCCTGCGTGCTATACTTTTGCCATATATATTTTTCATGAAAATGGAAAATCTACTATTCTCTCATGCTGTTCTACGTTTCTTTATATACATACATTTTTCATCCAAAGCAATATACGTCCGTTTTGCATTTTTCGCGGTCTATTTTATATAGTATTTATAAAGAAATATTGGCGGGAAAGAAGAAACAAAAAAAGAAGAATGCATTTGATAGATACATTTTTGATAAGTGAAACCGTTTAATTTACCGAATGCAGTAGATTAATAACATTTTCGTGCTTAATGAAAAAATTTTTCTTAAATTGTAATTTAAGAAAAATTTAAGGAATTTACAATTCTTAGTGATTATATTACGTAATTAGATTAAATAATAGTTTCGTAAATTTGAAAATGGAAAATTTTCTTGTTTCATTTAAGTAATTTATTCATGGATAACAGTATTTTAATTAGTAGAAACTATTAATTATTTTTTATCCGCGGAATCGTTCAAGCCCTCGCGATATAATGCAGAAAGAAGGAATATTTTTTTTGCTACATTAATTGACTTTTTACTTAACATAGAAGTTTTTTTTTTGTATAAAACTTTCTACGTATTATCGCAAAGCTCTATAGCATATGTGATAATCCATTTTCAAAAAAAGTTTTTCCATTGTAATCGGCGAACCATATTTTTTCAGTAACAACTTTTAGTACAGGAACAAGTTTTGTTTTCCCATTCTTTTTTAACGTTACGTTTTTTTTTTACAGATAAAGTTTCCTCGCAGAAATATACTTTGATGTGATTGTTAATCTAATTTTTATTTTAACACACGTTCGAATTTATTTTTGTTTAAAATATATTTATTTAAAATAACATTTTTTTTTCCACTTAAAGCTCTTACTTAGATTCTTCAGGCGATAAGAATTTTTGTACGTCAACAATTTTTAGATAAATTGTCGAAAAAATAAAAAAATTCACTTAAAATAATTTTAATTATAATATTAATATATTTTTAAATGCATAGAAATTTGCACAAGAAGCTCAATTCACACGCTACCTTATTCGAATACGTATTTCCATTGTCGTCAAATCCGAGTCCGTTCACTTAGTCTTGGTTAAAACTGATTTCTTGTTCAGGCAGCCACCTATCGATCACAGTAAAGTAAACGTCGGTGTGTCTATCTAACAGACGGGAGATTGTAGCTATTAACGTATAGGTATTATATCTCTTGTCGCGAAGATTAAGTTGCGTCCAACCGTAATTGCATTGTATACGGCGACCGGAAATATCGTTTCGACGCCAACGCATCTTTTTCCTATTAATAATTCCCACGGATACTTATCGAGTTTCAACGAGGCCGTGAGCAAGGAAATTTATTTTTATCTGTCGTACACAAAGAGTGTGCACACGTATCCGCGTATATGCGCATATGCGATGTCCGGCATGGACAAACGAGGGTGCAAACAGGCCGGCGCGAGGAGGAGATCGATGTTGCACTCTCGCCGGCAAAACGTCACGCAACGTCGCTTATGCATATGACCCACGTTGGCAGAGAGAAAGAATGGCGAGAGAGAAAGAGAAAAGTAGTTAAAAAAAAAAAAACAACAAAAAAGAAAAAGAGTGATCACCGCCAAGTCCGAAGCACGTTTTTCCATAGACGTCGTTACGGTACCCTGTCGCAACGCAACGTCGATATTTTTATACATATCAGTGATGCAACTGTCATACGCCGTGCGTTGCGATTCTTTTCACGAGGGCAATGAGTAAGCGCATCAGGTCAGGTGGCATCTCGTCGATGTTGGAATTGATTCGAAAGTTAAGCCCCTCTTTCGTAGGCGGAGGAGCATTGGAAAACGCCGCCGTTGCGAGCGAATTTATCACGGGATGTTCTCGCGTGACTCGCGTCCTTCTGAAAATATCTAGTCCGTGTATCTCCTCCCGTTTGTTTCCTCTTGCGCTGTTTGTGTGCAATCGTACACGCGGTCCCTTGTATTTTTTTTTTTTTTTTTTTTTTTTTTTTTTGGGC